CTACTACTACTACTACCGCTACTACTAATAATCATACACACCCGAGAAGCCCGTATGATGCTCCAAAACGCCACCCAAGAAGTTTCGAACCTGCCGCCAAGAGGCCCGCGAGAAGCTTCCCAAGAGATACCAACGAACATCCTGCCTCATTCCCACAACCCAGGCACGGTGGCTGGATATGGCGAAGCCAGTAAATATCTATTACAACCATATCCTGCTCTACTGTCTCCTGCTCATCCTCCTCCCCTCTCCGCGGGTTGCGCACTTGGTGCGTTCCGTCGCGGCCGGAGAACGGGCGAGCGTCAAGCGCGGGGGGGGGGTTCTGCCGCTCGGCCTACCGTCCTCTCTCGCTTGGCCCCTGGGGGGGTAGGAGGAGGAGGCGGAGGAGGAGGCGGAGGCTTACAGTCAAAACTGATAATAAGGACGCACGGTAAGGACGCAAGGGCCTTGGACGCCGAAGTTGGAACGCAAGGGCGCAGGAAAGCGGCGACGCACGGGCAGCAGGGGCAAGGACGCAAGGGCACCCTCGGGAAAGTCGCTCGTCCTTACCATTCGCGTTGACTGTACCTTTTTGCAACCAGCGCCACAGATTAGATCCACTCGTTCGGCGGCGATGCCATGCAGTGCAGCCCTGCGAGATACTTCTCAGCGCATTTCGCTCCCACCGTGAAAGGTGAGTTTCCAACAACGCAAGACGCGAGCAGTTTTTTGCACTTTGCCATCATGTCCTCGCCAGCATAGCACCACCCAGATCGCGGGTTTTGCCATTGTGCCTTTGTTCTTGGATCAGGATGCAAACCTTCCACCACCACAGCAACGGCATTTTTTCCGCAAAACATCAAAAACAAAGTATTGAAAGCCATTGAAAACTTCAAACAATAAAAAACGAATTGATTTTAGGTGAGCGGCGGTGTGATAGTTGGGAAGGTATGCACTTTCACCCAAAAACCTGGATTGCACTGTGTGCTAAATAATGGCTCTTGATGGTAATATCGAAAGCTGTGTGCCCACAGGATTGGAAATGGTTAGCGCAAGCATTCTGAATAACCAGAGAATCCCAGATCGCTTTGCCGTATTCATGGGCATCATTATTCTGCAACACATCCACGTCTTTGTTACGGTCAAGGATACGGTCTATCTTCGCGCTTAGCTCCAAGCCAGCTGCTACAGTTTGGTGTTTGATGTCCGAATGATTAGAATGTCGATCCCAGAGTTTCTGCAACAAAGGAATGAAGCACTTTATCTCCTGTGCCTTACCACGCAAACGAAGTGGCTCCTTCTTTTTCTTTTTGAACATTGAAATCCTCATGTCCGAATGCCTGGTGCCATAATCACCATTTTTATACTCATGCAGAATCTCTGCGCGCAATCGCTCCATGTTCTTCTCTGGTCTGTCACCCATGATGTCGTGCGTGAGAAGATACATGGCGCTTCCAGCAAAATACTGGTCGGTTCCCATGTGCTTTACATGCATCACGTCCACTGATAAGGCAAAGTGATTCACAAATGCAAATATAGGATGCTTATGTGGAAACCTCGCATCAAAAGCAGCTGGTGAGTGGAGGTGGTCGATCCACCGCGCATTTTCTGACAGTTCCCACCAAGGAAGCGTGGACGCATTTGCAGGGCAGAGCGCGCACGGGATATCGGAAGAATGGCTAGGGAACCCTAAATCATCAGCCCAGTACTTCAGGTCGCCCCTAAGCATCCACAGGCACGCTCTGTACCCACCAGCTAGAGGCTGCCCTGCCTTCGAAGACCCCGCGGGCCAGACACCGTCAAACAAAGCAAGGAAAGATTTGAGCAGCTTCCTCCAAAAAGCTAGCTTAGATGCCTTCGGAAACATCGAGGCGAAGACAGAATATATCATAAAGTTGCACCCCAACGTATTCCCTTTTCCAAGCAAAGAGCTCCACGAAAATATAGTGTACGACTTGGCCCAGGGCTTGCCGCATCCGCTCACTGGCACACCGTCCCCATGCAATGATAACGGTATGAACAAAGACGACCAGTCAGGTACCGATTTCATGGGGTGGTCGCGCAGCAACGGGTGGTTTGCCGCGACCATATTGTTCCAAAAGGCTTGCACCCGATCTCTGCCGCCAGAGCACACGCTTGAAGAAAACATATCTGGATACTTATCGTACAGTGCAGAAAAAATCTCGTGTGGCCACAGAAAAACCTGGGACTTCTGAGTGACCGTGTCCTTGCCTGGACTGATCGACATCGGGATTTTCTCAACGCATGGCTTTGGAAACCTATAGTTCCTGATGAGTTGCATCAGATCTCGATTACACTTGTTAGCGTGCATGCCTGATGTCCCGATTTTAGACAGCTTCTCAAGTTGTGGCAATCCACACGCGGTAGCATCCACTTGTAAAGAATCCCGAAAATCAGGAGACACATACAGTTCAACCTTCTGTTTGATGTTCTCAAAAGTCTGCCGTTGGACGCTGAGCATGTCGCGTTCGGCCGCCGCCG